CTGAATGGAAATGAATAAAATGATTGTATTGATCTTGCTTATTGTCCGTTTGCTTAATTCTTCATTCACTTTGGCAGTTAATGATTGATTCCAGTAATTTTTCTGCAATTTGCACCTCACTACCATGCCAGAAAGGGGCAACTAATTGAAGCATCTCTTGTGACCAATAAATTCAAGCTCCTCTCCAACTAGAATGAGATTGGATTGTGTACCAGATGGAAAATATTTTGTACAAAGTCTTTGTCCACTTTGGGAAGTGATGGTTAGAACAGATTGTAAATTGTGTTTTTTCTGATTTGCAAGGAACATTCCCATTCACCTTTCAACAAGAAAGGCTGGACATCCAATTTCATAACCATCTCTCTCATTCATTGCATTTTACTTCCATGTTTCCTATCGAACAGCTTTCCCTTCAGCCTCCCTGAATAATGATTCCTTTCACAGTGGTCACAAATCACCATTTTGAAGCCCAAAAACTACATGATCTAGCTGAGTGGATCAATTCACCTCCCCTTCCCCCCCGCACCCCCAGCCTTTCAAGGTGTAAGGGAAGAGGCCCATCAGGCTCTGGTTTCTATGCAGAAGGTGGAAGTGGCTAATCTGGGAATGATAGGACCTCAACTTGGCAGGTATGTTTCTCCAAAGGATCTTTAACAGAACCAGCATAGTCTGCTCTAAAGGTTGTTTTACCCCTCTTGATGCAGCCTGGGGCTTAGACCAGCACTGGGCTCTGAGCTTGTGCTCACCCCCTCCCCACCTTGTTATAACCATCAGCAGTTGGTCAGTTTCACCAGTTTATTTCTCCTCCAGTCTGAGTTACACACTGTTCCATGGTTCAGTTCCCAATCCAAACTGGGAGGGAAGCGGTGTCTTCCTGAAAACAATGCCAGAGCTGTCCCAATGTGGCTTATTTTGTTTCCTAATCCAAGGATTCAATTCCAACACCACAACCTACTCTTTCAATAATCTATCAACCTGTCAGCCCAGAGCCGAGAAATTCAGCCCAAACGTTCTCAACAGGCACGTTCCAGGGAGTCAGCTCAAGAAATAATTCTCCTGAAATGTAGTGGATTATAATGCAGCGTCTCATTGCCACCTACAGCAGGATAGTAGTGACCTTGGAATAACAGCAATACTCATGGTTAGATGCTTTCATTTGATTGACTCTTGCTGCTAAAGCCAGCATTGAGCGCACTAAGCTGCTCCCTTGGTTCCTCTGAGCTTCCCACATGGTGAAGGTTACTCCCAATGCAGGTTGATTTCACCCAATCACATTGAAGGAGCAGTGTGACTCGGAGAGGAAACCTGGAGATGCTGTCTTTCCTGTACAGCTGCTTCCTTTATCTTTCGAGGTGTCAGAGATCGTGGGTTAGGGAGGGGGCTATCAGAGACATCCTGGGGATTGTTTCAGGGAGTTTTGTAGCGAGTGCACACTGCAGCCTTCGTGGAGGGTGTGGGTTTTTAAGGCACTGAATATATTTGTTCTACCACATAATGTGTTTTATTTTCAGAAAATTGAATTCTTGGCTATACAATCCTATTGTACAGGAAGTGCCTGTTTGGTCCATTAAGTCTGCATCGACCGTCTGAGCAGGGGGTCAGACCTACCCCATTCCCCTAAAGTTGTGTGTCCCATACCTAACCAAGCTAGGCCTGTATGCCCCTTGTCACGATCAGCAATTGAGAATTGCCAATCCACATCACCTGCAAATCAGGAGAAAACTCACACAGACACAGGGAAAATGTACAAACTCCACACAGACAGTTCCCCAGGCTGTAATGGAACACAGGTCCCTGTTGCTGTGAGGTAACAGTGTTAACCACTGAGACACCATCACACCTTCAAGTACCAAACAAAGGAATATGCTGTTGCAAACTATCAGAGTCATAGAGTCATGTGTCATGGAAACAGACCCTTCAGCCCAACTGGTCTATGACAACCAGGTTTCCCTAACTCAACTAGTCCCACTTGCCTGTGTTTGGCCCATATCCCTCTAAACCATTCCTTTCCATGTAAATCTCCAAATGTCTTTTAAATGTTATAATTATACCCTAATTATACCCACCTCCAACATTTCCTCTGGCAGCTTATTCCACACACTCATCATTCTCTGTGTGAAAAAGTTGCCCTTCATATCCCTTTTAAATCTTTCCCCTCTCACATTCAACTGATGCCCTCTAGTTTTGGACTCCCCTACCCTGTCCCAGTATGCTTTTTATATACAGTCAATCTTGAGTGCAATGGCGAGGCTACATTTAATGCTCAGCAACTGTTACACTTCAGGAGGTGGTGATGAGCTGGTTATTACAGTCCACCTGGTGTAGGAGAGACCAGAATGATGCTGCTAATGCTGCTGAGGAGGGGGTTCTGGGATTTGGATTCACAAACACTGATTTTGTTCCAAGTCAGGATGGTGATAGATTTACATGGAGCTTCTTACACGTTGTTGAGGCTGCATTGAGCCAGAAAATTGTAAAGTATTCATTCATACTTCCTAACTTTGGTTTTGAAGATGGTGGACAAGCTTTGGAAAGTCAGGAGTTGAGTAATTCACAACAGAATTCCCAGCCTCTGACTTGCTCTCATAGACATGAATATTCATAAGGTTTGACCCCTGACCATGGTTTACGTATAATATTCAAACTTGTCATTTAAACCAACAAGTTACAACTAGACTGCAACCTGGTATTTGAAGCAGATATTGAGTAAAAGTAACTTGCTTCCACCAATCTATACATCAAGTCTGTGATCATATCGTAACAATTGAGTGGGGATCTTCAATTCCCAAAGCCTCACAGGCCACCAGTCCATGGGAGGCTGCTCAATTCAACACAGTTGCTGAGCCGTATGTTCTACAGAATGCAATGTAAACAGGACCAGAAACTCTCCACTTGGAAACATGCTGGAGTTAAGCGCTAGTTCTACTTCAGACAATTACAAACCCCCGAACATGGAGACAGAAATGTTGAATGTGCGATACGTTTCCAGCAGAAACCTGGACATAGAGGCCTGAGGTCTACTATGTAGAAGAGTCACTTTGCACGTTTAAGGTGTTGCTTTTCAAACTGGGCTTCCTGAGCCCCGAGGTCAAGGAGATCTCAGCAGATTCAGAATGGATCCACAAAGTACATCAGTTGCCTGTATTAGATGATCCAAAAGTACATTATTTCAGTTGCTGCACAGCAATTGGAAAATGTTTACTGTTAACAAAATCTAGCCATTTTTCTACGATCTGCAACACTGTCATTCAAATGCTATGAAGACAAATCCATTAGACTAACAAATTGACAGAATTCTGCAAATCTGCGATGAGCGTGTCTTAATACATAGCCTCAGATACAAAAGTGAAGTTTTAGAGTAGATTTTATTCTCATTTTCAGATCGATATCTTCCAGAATGTGCAGAAGGTCAAAGGTCATTCAGCATTTCCATCATCGACCAGTTGTCAATTCTGATCGGCTCCTGGATCCAATTCCCATCCTGCACTGATTGGACATGGCAGCTGATCAATCGATTAACAAGAGTGATTGGCCATCACTGATGATGTCATTTCCTGCTTCATAAAATGAGGGTCTGATCCTGGAGTATAAATGGAGTCCCAAGGTAATGATGCTTTGTATGTTGTTGGTGCTGTTCATAAAGTTTTGATTGGGTTTTGGGAGGAGAAGGAAAGCACTTTTCATCACAAAATGGCCTCCCAGATTTGTCAAAACTATCACCAGGATTGTGAAGCTGCTGTCAACAAACAGATTAATGTGGAGCTCACTGCTTCCTATCTCTATCAGTCTTTGGTGAGTTTTGTATTCAATCTATAATGCTGAAGTGTATTGTTTTCCTGGTTTCTAATTAACTTGACACTCTTGTAGATTTGAGTTTTGTAGTTCTTACCTAAAAATCCCTTCAGGATAAATGTGATGTTATCATAACAGTGGGGTATGATACTGATGTACAATGTCATTCCCCAGTTGGCTTTTAGTGGTAGAAGGTGAAGTTCTGAGTTATTTCACAATTTGCTTACAGGCCCTTGCCTGGTAGAAATTGTCACTTCTCTCCCCATAATTGCCAAACCTGTATATCTGATTGGAACTCCCAACTCTTTCTACAATCACC